TCAAAGTCCAGTTATTCAATCTGGGTCAACAGTGGAAAAAGAAACCTTATTGCTTTGAACAACACAGTTGAWGTATCAGAATGTGATTTCTTCGGTCTTCTCGTTCCTTCTATTTCATCGGCTGCTACCATGGCCACGAGTTACGCATCTCAAAGTACACTGTTTTATTCCCCGTCCGCCATCACTGCTGCTGGTTCCAATRATAATACTTTTATTGGGCTGCGCTCACCACCGCAGGCAAACGGCCCACAGGTGGGTAAACAACAGTGTGTGTGGGGGGGATGTACCATTTTCCCGCCAAATCCACAGGAATCCCGCATGAATCAATTAAATTTTGGTACAGAAAGCAATTTTTTATTGAACAGTACTTCTACTCATGAATGTATGACATACCTAACACAGTTGCTATACGATTGTTTTGAAGGTTGTTAATAACGTTCCACACTTCCAATTCAAGATCATCCCACATGGAAAAGTGATGACGACCCATACTTATGTGTCAGAGGGAACATATAAAGCTAAGGCAGAACACGGTTCTAACAGCGCTTTGAATGTCATCCACGCACAAAATGTMGTGTCGAACATTAGTTTGAATTGGGTTGAAGTGTACCCTACAAAGGAGGCATCAAACGTGTCGTTGTCCTCTCATTCAGGCACTAATGTTAGCTACACCTGGATATTTAACACCACAAATATCACCACCTCTACAACCTGGCTCATGCATTCTTGTCTGACTAGCGGCTTCCACTCAGTTGCAGTATTTGCTCGTAACAAGGTCAGCGTGAGTTATACTCGATGCTCCATTGAATGTCAGGAGAGAATAAGTGGGTTAGGATTCACTTTAAATGGACTACCAACTTCTGCTGAGAAGGTCGCGACAAACATTAGCTGGACTCTTCTAAATGGATCAAACGTGAACTTCAAGATTGACCTGGGAGATGGTTCTGGGGTGAGAGAGTTGAATGACTCCAAAGTTGCTGGAGCAACATTTGTTGGCACCTTGAATAAGACGTATGGATCAGCGGGTGTCTATAATGTTACCATCACARCTTCTAACAAACTTGGAAATGTAACAATAAGTGGTTTAATCACCATCCAAGAACAAATTGCTAACGYATCTACGGACGCTCCAAACTGCATAGCTACAAACAGCAGTGTGAATATYACAGCGAGCACAGATCATGGTGATACGATGAGATACGCATGGACAGTCAATAACAAGACCATCAAGACAAACGAACAGCCATGGTTTATCTATACGCCTTTTAAAGCGGGTATCTACAACTTGACCCTTGTTGTATATAATAATGTCAGTACAGGGTTATGCAGCTGTAAGTTCATTCAAGTAAAAGATACCGTGGGTGATGTGGAAGTTGGTCCCGTRCTGCCAGCAGGAATTGGCCAGCCATTGTCWATACCATACAAGGTCAACCATGGAAGTGATTTCCGCGTTTYAGCTTGTTATGGAGATGGAGTGTGYGTTGATAAGAACGGCAYAGAAGATGSAGAAGGAGTGGCTGTTTACAGTGGTGTATTTGCTCATAGTTACGCTAAACATGGTGACTACCAAGTAAATCTAACGGTTTGCAATTGTGCTGGATGTAATTCAACGTCAATCAATGTCCATGTTGAAACTCCTGTTAAAGATCCAAAAGTGGCTGTCAGTAAAAGTGGTCGTCCCGGCAACCTAGACAAAGCCTGCAGTGCGCCACTTTACGTCCAAGTCAACCATTCAGTCTTCATGGCATTAAGTGTAGGTAATGGTACMAACGTGAAAGTCGTATGGGATTATGGCGATGGTTTGAACTCATCTGAGTCTAGTGTTGGACCTTTTAATAAAGATGGTATGCACTCTAACCACTCATACAGTAAAGCTGGAAACTACACAATCACAGCAAAGCCTCACAATCTGAATGGTCACGAGGTGTTCACGTGTCACGTTGTTGCRCAAGATCCTATTCTTGGATTAACAGTCACGTCGAATTCACCAGTAGGATTCYCTGATGGTTCAGCAACTGTGACTACGGTCACTACCGCTCCACSCCCTAGTAGTCCGATCCATTGTGTCTATAAATACGGAGACACCAAAACTTCTGCCTCACTACCAATGTCATTCGCGGAGAAACAAACAGCCATAACTCACCATAACTACCCTTACAAAGGCAAGTTTAGAGGGAGTGTTAACTGTTCCAATGCAATCAGTTTTTTCGTCGAGCCTTTTCAAGTGGAAGTACAAGAAAAGATTTATGGGTCCACTATCAAAGCTCTTGGAACAGTCCCACAGAAAAAGATACCCTGGATTGTTGGTGATGGGTATAGGGGACCAGGAAAAGAGGGCACGATATTTGGACGAAATACTGATATTCAGTTTGTTACGAACTCTGTAAATGGCTCTAACCTTACTTGTTCATTCTGTTTTGATTGTAATGGCGCTGAACAAGTCACGAAGAACGCCAGTTGTGGCAACATCACTCACAGGTTCACAGCCAGCGGGAAAAAGGAGGTGAAAGTTGAGGTAAAAAACGACGTTAGTAGTGAAACTATCAAAATAAACTTGAGAATTGATGACAATATTGATTGTGCCAGCCTGCCAAACGATGGACCTAAATCAAAAGGTAACCATCACATCTTTACTGCATCCCCGAAGATGGTCGGGTCAAACTGGTGTTGTTACATCGACTATGGAGATTCTAGTACACCAGAATATTGGGTGCCAGAAACTTCGAACTGCACAAATGATCTTGGATTCCAAACARCTCTGAAGAGATTTAAAGGAGACAGTTTTCATACGAATCACACGTACTCAGATGTTAGGGAGTATAGTGTGACGATGAAGTGCGGTAATACAGTCTCAGAATGCACGTTAGATAGTAAAGCAGTTTTGGTACAAATCCCTTGTAAACAGCCAACAGTTTCTATCTTGGATTTTTCTCCTAATTTAACTTCTGCTACAGAAAAAATGAAATCAGCAGAAATCGAAATGCGGTCCAAAAATGAAATCGATTGTAAAGCATCATTGAAACGTGTATTCACGTGGAAAGTATACAACACCACGAAGTCCAAGGATGTCCCGATAAACCTGACGGGTAGAGTTGATACAAGTAAGGAGCAGTTGATCCTTTCCCCAAGAACACTAGAAGTGGGTGTTTACAAAGTCTGCTTCACGCTCAACATGACTGAAATCATTGGAGTTCACGGTACTGCTTGCTGTTATATTCGTATAATTCCGTCACCTATTATCGTGGAGATTGTCGGGGGAACCGAGGTGGCTGTCGGGTTTAATAAAACAAGATATCTTGATGCACGAAACTCTAAAGACCCTGATTCAGAACTGACAGCATCCAACGACCCACAACTGAAGTGTTATTGGTTTTGTAAACGTGAGGGGGATAATTATACGCTGCCTACACATGTTGACCCACACAACCTTCCCCCCGTACCCAAACCACGTGAAATACCAGTCAATGCTAGTCAAAATGGGACTGACCTCGGGGGGTGTTTTGGCGATGGGCCTGGGAGACTAAGAGACCGTGAAACTTGCAATTTGCCAGTTTCTACAGACAAAATGCAAGAAAACACAAAATATGACTTCAGAGTATGTGTTGTTCACGACGACAAACGAATCAAGTGCACGAACCAAAGATGGGATATCAAGCCAGGCGATCCCCCGGCTATGGCCATAGAGTAAGTAACAGCACACAAGTTGTGCTCGTGTAAATCGTACCAAAATTTGCCGTATACGTCAAGTCACGCGCGGCAAATCGTGCCGTGTAAATAGGCCTTGCGGATCCATGATTTTGTTCAGGGAGGGGTGCTGTGCACAAAGTTAACTCAGAGAGGGGTGCCACCCTTAGAATCAAAGGTAAAAAAACAGTATTGGTTATCTTCGAAGTAGGGACACAAAGTCGAACCAGGGAGGGGTGCGCACCCCCTGCACCCCTCCCCTGGATCCGCCCCTGAGAGTGCATTCCATTTCATTATGCTAACTTGCTGTTACTTATTGTTTTTTAGTTCTTTTGTGATGTGTTGTTATTTTGGTGACAAATTCATCAAACCAACTTACTATGAATAACCAATCTTAGGTGAGAACTGTCGTTAATTTTTTCTTCCTTTTTAAGATGCCATTACAACTGCAAGGAAAAGTTGAATCCTTCAAGTAAAGTCTCCTTATCGTGTTATTGTGTAAGCTGTACTGTATATACGCCAGTACAATATGAGTGGGAAATCAGTCGTAAGAAACCTGGAAGCTCCAAGTACGAAACCCTGACGGAAGATCAAGTAAAGAAGATGATTAAGACACCAATTGATGGACGTAGTTTTTCAATTGGCCCCAACGAACTGACTGGTGGAGACGAGTACAAGTTCACTTGTAAAGGGAGTCGAGGGAATAAAGGAACAAAGGGATTTGCAAGTTACAAGAGGACGGCAAATTCCAAGCCGGCCAATGGTACCTGTGACGTCGAACCCAAGACTGGCCTTGCACTTAACACTACATTCACCATCACGTGTTCTGGATGGGAAGATGAAGATCAGCCTCTTCTATACACTTACGGCACTGCTAAAGGTTAGTTGAAAACATGCTCACACATTAAACCATCCAATTGCTTGGTGTCAATCAGCTGATAAAAGACTTTGAATCTCATCATGTGCTCCAAATGGTGGACAAACACTGAACACCATGTGCAGTCAGACAGAAAGAATTCTATTGACAAATTGTGATTCAGCTGATGAACATTACCCACTAGACAGGAAATGACGTCAAGTATGACATTTGCTCAATAGGTTGCTATCAATTGACGTCACTTCCGGTAATAGCTATTTTTTAATGGATTGTAGAATACTGGAGGTTGTTTTGATCTCTTGTTTTCTGGTTTGATGTCGTGAAAATAGTCAAATACAATAGTTTGAGGACTTATTTTGACATGTTTTGACTTAACATTCGCTAGCTGCCCCCCAGTCAACCGCTTGTTTGCCCCCCAGTCAACCGCTTGTTTGCCCCCCAGTCAACTCCAAAAAGTCACGTGATTGATCGTAAGCAAAAAATGCTATAAATCATGATAAAAACGCGTTGTGTTTTACTTCTAGATTGTCATAGCGAAATGCAAATCTTGGCGCCAGACAGAGGAGAACCCCTTTACAAAGTAGTGGCGAGCATGATGCCAGGACCGAAGGAAAACAACTACACGACCTATGTTATAGTACACGTGTCAGATAAGCACAAAGCTATAAACACATTAACATGTATCCCCATCCAGGTATATTTCTATACATCACTTATATATTCACAACTTCACTGAAAAAATATTAATCAATAGCCTGAAAAAAACGCTGAAACAACCTCTGGGCTGATCTAAGTCAGGGCATGGCTAACTCACAGATGGAACCCTGAAACAACCTCTGGGCTGATCTAAGTCAAGGCACGGCTAACTTTGGAATAGGCATTTAGCGGGTTCGGTTTTACAGAGGGAGGAAAAAAGGAAAACCCGGAGAAATACCCTCTAACCAACTGAGAGAACTAAAAGACTCTTCTTTTGTACAACTTTATTGGGCAATAGCTATATAACTATATATAACTATATATATATAACTATATAACTAGCAAGAGAGCATAAATAAGAAAGGGAAACGTTTTAATAACGCGCCCGCCATGTAAATTCCTGGTTGGACTATTTTTATCAACCGGATGCAGTTTAAATTTCGTCTTACCCTACTCCCGTGCGTCATCAACTTGCGCGCATGCGCTCTTTCCGTTTTGATTGTTTTTAATCTCGTACCCAGAGCCTGCGTTTCTCCTGGCATGCGGCGAAGAACGAGGGCTCTGGCATCATACATTTTTTGAGACCAGGATTTCTTGGACTTCCGGTATAATAGCGCATGCGTTGAATGGCTTGCCAAAGATCAATCTCGTACCCAGAGCCCTTATTTCTTACTGCGCATGCTCGACGAAATAATTGGGCTTTGGAAAACTCCGATATTTCCTTTGCTGTGATTGGCTCTCATGAGAACAAAGGAAGGTACCGGAAGTAAAAATTACAGTACTAGGGAAAATAAACAAGATGGCGTCTCGAATTAAGTACACCAAAAAAGCCTGTAGGGCCGGAGTTTTCAAAGTTTTGCCGGTTTTGTAATGGAAATTGTATTGATGTCCATCCAATAGATATTTTCGGACTTAATTTAACTAAAAACCATCTTCGAAACCTAATTTTCCAAGCGCAAATTCACATGCTCGTTGAACATCGTCCGCCATTTTGAATTTACCTAGTATGTCATAATGCGCATGTGCGAAAAACTCAGAATCTGGGTCTTCCGGTTTGGAGTTTTCCAGAGCCCAATTATTTCGTCGAGCATGCGCAGTAAGAAATAAGGGCTCTGGGTACGAGATTGGCCAAAGATTTAAAAAATTATGTTCCCGAGTTTCATTTTTATCAAACGTAAACAAAATAAGTTTGTTTGAAAGTATAATTTTCAATGATTATATTTCACTTCCGGAAAATTGCGCTTTCGTCAAAAAAATGGATTGTGCCAAAGCCCTCGTACTTCGCCGCATGCCAGAAGAAACACAGGCTCTGGGTACGAGACTGGATCGTTTTGATCGCTAAGAACGAATCCAGGATTCAAACCCGAGACCCCAGAGGTAAGAGGCGAGTGCACTACTCCTCCGTCACCCTTGATATCTGCCAGTGGTCATACGTTACTTATCTCACTACTATAGCATAAAGCCACCAGTTATAAATTACCGCCTTTACACAATTGTAGAAATGCGTTGCAGTATAGCTTCATCAATCATTATCTATCGTAATCTGTCTCTCATTTGACTTCGCAAGGTAAAAGAAAAGAAGTTAGACACAGCAAGTCTCGAGAACATCCTGGATGGTCGCGTCCAGAATCTGCTGGCATCGGGCAGTGGTAACGAGCTCAACCAAGTTGTGTCTTCAGTTCTCTCTCAAGTAAACAAAGAGTCGTCGTCTGGGGACAGTGAGCCCGCAAGTGGTGACACAGCAGCACCGACGAAGAGTCCTGAAGAGCTGGATAAAGAACGAGAAGAGAGGACGAAGGTATGTTGAAATGGATTATACCATTGCCTATAGCAGAGCACAAGAAAGCCCTTCACTACCCTTGACAGAATCATGCATCTGACGCATCCGCAGAAGCTAAGGCTACGTATGCAGTTCAAATCTGACGGCAATCGACTCCTTGAAGCACGTTGGAATGCAAGTCAATTTGGAGGACATAACAATATGTTTCCAATTGTCATGAGATTCAAATTCTTTTGTTTTGTCCTCTAAATTGAGCTTCTTTGACGTCACATGCAAAGGGTCTATTAAGGCCTTCTGCCCTTGGTTGTACGGATTACGCAGGATGATGATCTAAAAGCTTCAAGGGAGAGACTAGCTGGCCCCCATACCGTATCTACCCCTGCGCGCATACCTTGTCATAGTTAGATAAACAAGAGATGCAAACGATTCAAAGTGTCTTAATGCATCATAGAAGCGCTATCTTTTCCACTTCCTTTCATAAGTCCTGCTTAAGTCAATGTTTTGCACTTGGAACCATAAGCGCATGCGCAGCGAGTGGTTTCACTGTAAAGCTTTGATTATTTTGAGACGTCATCTATGTTCAATAAGAGGGCAGACAATGGAAATCTACGAGCGATTTGTTGTTTTTTTTTACAATAAAGTAGAAATAAAAACTTTTGAAAACAAGGAAAAGTTTGAAGGAAAAAAAAAAAACGGTTTCAAGCACGCGCTGGATCCGTGCGAGTGATTCGTCATTCTATGTAGCTGAAAGCCCATTTTGGGAGATACAATAAAGTGCAGGTTGATCATAGCTGTCAGCCAATCAGATTGCAAGAATACACTCTGTGATTGTAAAAAAGCATTTCGATATCATCCCGCGGGTCAGTCAGACTAACAGGTTGTCTTATTCAACCCTCACAGATTAGAACACAGGTCATTGGTGTAATGTCCCAGGCTGCAAACGCCGTAACAAATCTAAAAGATGTGACTCAGACAACCAAAACCCTCGAACAGGCTATTAATGATCCCAAGGAACTCACGCCAGAAGCTAAGGTAGACAATCGACCCAAATACGTTAAATAAAAGATCACAGGCCACAATAACAATAACTTGTTGTAGAGATGATTTGGAGTTGATATCAATGATTGTGTGTTTTAGGAGCAAGCGGTAGGGATATTCAGTAAAATGACGTCAACTATTAAATCCAAATCTACGGGTGCCGAGCCTCAAGAGGTAGAGCAGGCAGTCAAGGCGGTCGCTGAAGGAATCAGTAACTGTATTGACTTTATGACTGAGGGACCACCTGTTGTGCAAACGACAGTAGCACCTGCGACAGCAGGAGTGACAGAGTCACTTGACCTAGATGATGAAGAGCCAACACCACCAAAGATCAGTCAAGAACAAAAAGATACGGTAAGATTACAGATTGAACCCTGAAACAACCTCTGGGC